TGGGCCAAGATTGGCAACAATAGTTCCCCAGGAGCAAATAGCTGGGTTGGAGGGTGGAGTCTATGGCACTGTAATCTGTCTGAGGTCCCCATCTCCCCAGGTAGCTTTTAAAACATGATCCTGGGACCTACACACCAGCAGACATTCCAACTGCCTTGCGGGGGGGGGGGAGTATGAGGTGTGGAATGGAGTGAAGTCCAATCAACTTCCATATGCAAAAGACCTTGAAGGTCCCATATGCAACTGACATTCCAAATGCCTTGCGGGGAGGGGGGTGAGTTTGAGGTGTGGAATGCAGTGAAGTCCAATCAGCTTTCATATGCAAAAGACCTTGAAACGCTGGGCGGGACTGCACAAAGCAGCCAGTCAACCCAGCCAGCATCTTCTGACTGGCAGTTCAAGCGTCCATACACTAAAGGAGTGCATTTTAGAACTTTGGCACCCACTATTCAATTATATATAAGGAGAGATTACAACACTCAGGACAATGGAACTCCCAGGGCTTATAAGAGATATTGGCTTCTTATCTCACTACACATGGTAAGTCACTCAATTCTCACTTATACTGAGAAATTTAACTTTGTTGGTCTTAAGGGTGCCACTGGACTCAAACTCTTCTCACCTGTTGTTAACTCCTTGATTATCTGTATGCCAATTTGCTATTTACATGTCTTACCAAATGTGTTATTCCAGTCTTAGCTGTATTTATTGCTGAGTGACTTGTGCGTCTTCACTCTAATTAGCTCTTCCTGACAACTAAACCCTCAGAAGAACAAAAGAGAAGCCAATGCTGGATCAAGCCAATGGCCCACCCAGTCCAACACTCTGTCCCACAGTGGCCAAAAATACCAGGTGCCGTCAGGAGGTCCACCAGTGGGGACCCTCTTATCTGTATGCAATATTTGAGGAAATCTGTTTCAATGTATGTGAAGAAGCATGCATCTACACATGCAGAGTCTCTCTGTTCTCATATGTACCCAGAGTTGAGCTTGGTTGGTCTTGGGGGTGCTGCTGGACACAGGCTTCGTTCTCACCTCTGTTTGTTAGCTCTCGCATTACTGTGCTGATTTGCTGCCATTGGGCTCTTTTTGTAGCAGGAGCTCCTTTGCATATTAGGCGACACACCCCTACTGTAGCCAATACTCAAAGAGCTTACAGAGCTCTTCTTACAGCTCTTGGAGGATTGGCTACATAAGGGGTGTGTCACCTAATATGCAAAGGAGTTCCTGCTACAAAAAGAGCCCATTCTTGCCACCTTGATCCAATCTCAGCTTCACTTATGCATCTTAACTATGACTGGTCCCTCCAAACCCCCCCCCCCAAGTCTTCCTGCACGTAAGGCTTGAAGATACCTTGTTTCAATTTGTCAGAGGAAGCGTGCTTGCACGCAAAAGCTTACACCTTAAATAAAACGCTGTTGGTCTTAAAGGTGCCAATGGACTCAGACGTTGTTCTGCTACTTCAGGCCAACATGACGACCCACCAATGCTCCCTCTAAGTCTCGTGAGCAAAAATTCTCCTTGGTGAGCGACTGGCATTATAGTTGTGAGCAAGCATACATTAGTTTGCTCTGGGGCCATCCTTCCTGAGCTAGGGCAAAAATCTGTGAGCTGGAGGCTAAAAACCTGTGAGCTAGCTCACACTAACTCTGCTTAGAGGGAACACGGCAACCCACCTGAGAGTCCCTGTTTAGCTTCTGGGATTGGGCTAGCTTGGGCCATCCAGGTTAGGGCTTCTGGTGCACAGGCACTGATATACATTTATACTCTGTATAATGGCTGATACCAAAATGCCCAAATGAGAAGTCCACCCCAACCTTGTGCACTGGCAAGAGAGAGAGGGGAGAGATCCAGGCTGGGATGCTGCCCCCTTTCGGCTTGCCCTGAACGCATCTTCCCCATTCGCTGTGCCCTCAAGAAACAGTTCCCAGTTCCACTCACCCGCTTGCCTTTCTCTCCAATGAGGCCCAGGGGCCCTGGGAATCCAGTCGAGCCCTGTGGGAAGACAGCCCAGAGTAGAGCAGATGATGACCAAGGGTGGCCATCCCTTCCTCCAGCCAGACATCTCCCTCGCACTCACCTTAGGTCCCTGGCGGCCAGGGTGGCCTGGCAAGCCCGGCACCCCCAACTTTCCCTAAAGGAAGAAGAGGCGGTCAGAGCCCGGATTAGCCCAGGGGGAAGGAAAAAACCCAGACACCAGGAGGTTCATGGAGATCGGTCCTCACCTTCTCGCCAGCTGGGCCAGGATGACCTGCTTCCCCCACAGGACCTGCTTGCCCTTTCAGGCCCTCGGTGCCATCCTCGCCACGTGTCCCCAGTGGGCCACCATCACCCTTTTGAGAAACGGAAAAGTTAAGAGAATCAGTGGTTGTAGGACTCCAGGCTTAAAAGATGCTCCAGCTGCATGTTGAGAGACATCCTTCCATCACCCCACCAAAGTACTAGAACTCTGGGAAACGAGGAAGGTCAGCACAAGAACCATTTCAGAACTTGACTATTTGGCACCTTTTTTTGGCAAAAAAAGTATAATTTGTCCTGGGGTGGGCAGGGAACCTTTTGTAGAATTTACAGCACTTTGTTTGTTCTTAGCTACCAGCTGCAACTATTTGGAGCCCAGTGCTCTGGGATCAGGGCCGTAGCTGGCGTGGGACCCACGAGGCGATGCTCTTCCAAAATTTGCAATGCCCCCCCCCCCTTGCATGGCAGAGTGGGAATTCATACCTGGGTTTGCCAGACCCTAGTACTGACACTGTCCATGACACTACATTGGTTTTCATGTGTCAGCAGAGACTGACAGAAGAAAGAGAACATGTTTTTCTTTCAAACTGCCAAAACAAACCTGAGCTCCTCTTGAGAAGCCTGCAACCATGGTGGTCTAAAATTCTGATGTTGGGAAAAGGGATTGCAGAACAAAATGCTGCATTTTGTGTCAATCCATAACAACAGAAAAAGTTTATGACCAGAGTGGGCTATATGGTCTGCACTGCTTGTTTCTCACAGGATAAGGAAGGATGTTTTGGGAGAAAGCAAAGAATTCTTCTTTCCTCTGAGTGGGTCTAGTATTCTGTCCCGGTCCCGACGTCCCGGGCCTCCTCGACACAACCCCTCCCGACAGCGGAACCGCACACATCCCACTCACCGCGTCCGCTACGAGGCCCCCAGCTGAGGGGCAGGCGACGCCGGCTCACGAGGGGGATGGGGGGGCCCGAACGGGGTGCCGTCCTACGGCGCAACCCCTCGGTCGCCGGGCGCGCCCTCGGACCCGCAGCTGGAGGGCCGGCTTGTGGGAGGCGCAGAAGGCAGCGGGGACGGTGGGTCCGGGGTGGTCCGGCACGGCTGTGCTTCCCGCGCCACCCGGCATGAGCCGGGCGACAAGCTCTACCCCGGCACAGGACGGGACTGGAGAGCCCCGCCCTGGCTGGGCATCTGAGTATTTATGTGGGGGCGGGACTAGGGATGATGGACACCAGGGTGTCCAATGGGACGAGGGACTGGAGGGAGAAGGGTATAAAAGGGGAACAGGCAAGGAGGCCGAGGAGGAAGATCTGCCGAGTTGAGACGGGGTGCGTGAGGAGCCGAAGTCGGAGAGAGATACGACTCGGCTAACGCCCCCACAAGACGTGTGCAGTAGGGAGCGAGAGGCTTGGGCCGGTGACTGAACCTGGCGGCCTAACTCCCATTCTGAGGCTTCCGTTCCCCTGGGGACTCGGGGCAGCGGTAGGCGACGGCGTCTGGGGGCGACGACGACCCGGCCGTGCGTGCCCGATCGTCACAAACTTGTAATACCAAACACCTCCCCCCATCTGGCCAAGTGAGAGGTGGAAGCAGTGAGCCAAGCGGGCAGGGCTAGGGTGTAGACAAGGCCCATCCTCCCTGGAACCTTTTTGCCCCAGTCGCTGGCCTCGCCCTTGAAGGTGCCTGTTTGGGCCTCAAGTCTGCAGTGCCTGGCCACTCCAGACAGGCGCCCTTTGGCAAGCAAGCCCATCCCCTCGCCTGGCCTGCAAGCATCCTTCTGGCTGAGGCCAGCAGGCACTGTGGCTCAGGCTGCCCCTCCCCCGGAAAGGTTGCAGGACCACCCTTTTCTCCCTGCGCTGTTGGCTGCGGCGCCTCCTTCCCCTCCCTCCATGAGATGCAGACTGACACCGAGCTCTAGCGCACCACCTTCAATCCACTCATCCAGTACAGGTGCTCCAGCCAGCTGCAGGTGGGTGCCCCTTGCCCATCCGTCCCTTCTCTCACCCTGTATTTATTTCATGGAAGGTTCCTTACAACTCAGGGTGACCCCGTCGCATTTGCAATTAATTATTTAATTTATTGTATTAATTTAATTTGCCATGACATATATGTCTAGATAGGTGAGGTAGCAAGCAGTTACTGGATCTAGATCAGAATGATCTATGTATGTAAGTCTTAGCTGTCATTCTAAGTGGTTAAGGCAATTACAGCCAGGTGCTAAACTACCAGGTGATACTCTTCAGGCATTGTTAGAGTAGGTAATTAATGTATCCTGTTAGTGATTGGCTATCAGCTTGATCAGCTGGGGGAGGGGGGACTTAGTTCTCTCCAACTAAGGCATGTTATGCTGTGTGACAGTCTGTATAATCTCTGTGTAAATATTCACCATTATCTCTACATAAACTTTATGCACTTTCATCACCAGTTAGTCTCCAGCTTCTTCCTTTATTTACTGCACCCAATAATGACTCCCTCTTCCCCCCCCCCCATGAGAAAAAGGTCTAGCTATAGGGCTGTCTTAGATACTGAGATTTTTGAGGCTCTAAGGTTTTTTCAGCCTTTTCTGGAACCAGACACCACAAACCACAGCTCTGCAGGGTGTGGTGTTTTTATATATCTCTGTGTGTGTTTGTGCGCTTGAATGTTTTTCAGGGAGGTGGCTTGATTAGCCTGACTTTGCGTCCCGCCTCTGGTATTCCTTGGGGGTCTCCCTTCCAAGTGTTTGCCCGAGTTGGCCCTGCTTAGCTTCCGAGATCTGAAGAGCTCAAACTCGCCTGGCCTATCCAGGTCAGGGCACAGTGGGTTTTTTTTAATTACCCCAAACAGAAAGGAATAAAGCATATCCATGCCAAGTCTACAGTTAAGCTTCTGTAAAAGGTTTCCAAGTATCTAAAACTATATCCTTGAGCAATTGTCTCTATATTCAAATGTTGATACGGTTGCAAAGTCCTCAATCTACTGGATTACCGTAGGTGGGCATTTATCTCTCTAATGTTGTAATATAAGTCTTTTAACAACAGTAAAGGCACAGAGGGTCCATTTTGGTTGACCATCAGTTAGCCTCCAGGAGATAGGCGGATAGTTAAAAAGTACATAAGCATCCTCAAAAATCAATGACTATTCCAATACAAAATTAATATGAGTACTTCCTCCCCAAAAGACTGAATAACTGGAAAGGCATATATTTAAGAGACCCATCTTGTATGTACAGTACCAACAATTAGACACGTTACTTAGTCCTTCATTAAAAAAAGTGTTGTGATATTTAATATATCCTACACTTTTTTTTTTTTTGCTGAATAAGTTGCAGCTTAAACACAGAAACAACAGGTATAAAATTTAGGGCTATAAACCACTGCTTTGGCAAAACAGGGTAACCTAATTCCTTGTTTCATTAACTTCTGAGCCTTTAAAAATCATGATTATTGACCAACATACCAAATAGTTATAAACAAATATTGGGGGGGGGGGGGGTTTTGGCAATGTAACTAACATGACCAATAAAGCATCTTGGGGACTCAATGGGTGCGGTCGGACGCGCCATTTGATCTGGTATTCAGAATTGAATTCAGAATAGAATTGAATTCAGTTCAGAAATGAATTTTATCTGCACGATCACACAGTCAACATCTGCCTCCCGTACCCAGCCGTCACTTTCTAGCTCAAAACTGCTTTAACCCGGAGTATTTTGATACCAGGTCCTCAAGTGGTGTTTTCCTGATTCTCCGGTTTCAGCCGCACTTTTCTGACATCTGATCGCTCCTCCAGTGTCGAGCCACTTCCTGTTTAAACCCCCTCCCCACTCGAAAGCTGCCCGAGGCTTCCACTTTTCACCCACCATTTTTTTTTAAAGCGTTGGCGGTATGCGCATAGGCGGAGCTCCGCCACCGCGTTATTAAAAACAATGTTTAAACGGTGCCTAGTTTTAGCATTTAGATGAGTTCGGGATCTCACAGAGGCCATTTTCGGGGTAAACGTTTAAAGGGAAGTGTTCCTTTAAAGTTTAAAGGGAAGCGTTACAGCAGTCGGGTTGAAGAGGAAATCGCTGTTCTGCGCAGGCACAAAAATTTTAGTTCTACAGATGGCTGCCTGTGTGCATGCCCAAACTGAGAGAGAGAGAGAAACAACACTGACGCATGTGGATGGTGGGGAGCGATGTGGCTGCGCAGCGATCCGGAGCAAGGAGGTGAGTGTGGTCGCGATTCTCCAGGTTAAAAAAACCCGCATCAGGGCTGGAGCCATTTAAACTTCTCCCAGCATGCCGTCTGACTGCACCCATTGTTTTCCTAACAAACCCAGTGCAGGGTTGGAGGACAACTTGACCCTGGGTAGAGCAAGCTAAATCCTGCCCTAGCATCCCAGGATGCTCTTGTGCCAGCACATGCAGCAGTGTTCCTTGGGCAGTGCAGTCTTATATGTCCACACTACAAAAGCAAAGATGCTGCTTGCTATGTGTAGATGTAGGACTGCTATCATTATGATCCACGTGACACCTCCCCGTCTCTTGGTTGATCATGGTCACGAAGGAGTCTGAATGGCTCAGATTGTGCCTCCTTAAAGAGGCCCCTCTCACACTTTGAAAACTTCAGGCACAGAGGGAAGGGTATAGCTCACCCGGTCACCCTTGGGTCCCATGTCACCCTTGAAGCCAGGGAATCCATCTTCTCCCTGTAAAGGGACAAAAAGGTTAACATGGCTAGAACGTAAGCACCTGGCTTGCCAATTCTGAGAAAATGCGTATCTACCCTGTCCTAGTTCAGAAGTTCTCAGCTAGTATAGCATCCCAGTTTGGTTGATTATCATGGGTCTTTACCCTTGACTCCGAACCTTTAGAACTCTATGAAGTGTTAAAACCTTTTTTTTGGGGGGGGGGGTCCTCAAGCTCTGACTGCTTAGAAGCCGATATAGATTCCTACATAAGACAACACAATAGGGCTTTGAAGGCAGGAGACCTTCAGAGGTGTTTTGCCATTTCTTGCCTCTGTATAGCGACACAGGTATTCCTTGGTGGTCTCCTTCCACCCAAATACCAACCAGGGCCGACCCCACTTAGCTTCTGAGATCTGACAAGATCTGGCTAGCATGGGCTATCCATGTCCGGGCTATCATAAATTAGGTTCCCAGAATATGGTTGGCAAACAGATGATCAGCAAGCACATGAAGCAGTAACCTTGCTACACTTGGTCTGGTCGGCATCTGGTGAGAAGAGTTCCTGAGGATCCTACATAAGCCATCGTGACTTCCATGATAGAAGGAAGGTGGAGGATAAATGCAATATGATGTGCTTGCAAAATTCTGAATGTCTACTGTGTGCTCCCAATACGAATCTCCGCAACGTTCCAAATGGTAGATTGCTGTTGGACAATTTTAGAAGGGGGGGGGGGACACTGCCATAAAATTCATCAGCTTGATTAAAAAGTATCCCTTGGCATCAAATGTCAAGAGCAAAACTGGGGAGGGGGGGGGAATAACAAAACTGGATGGATTTCAAATCTGTGCGAAGTTTCATCATAGCTAAGAACGACTTTCCATCTCGAGCCTATTTGACAATGGAAAATTATTTTTACTTAGGGACTGATGCTACCACAGACTTCTTGGACCTGCAACCTAGACAGGTTGCTCAGGGCCAGTCTTAAGACAGTGGGCAATCAGGGTAGCTGCCCTGGATCTCATGCTGGGGGGCAGCCCCCCCCCCCATGGAGAAGGGAAAACAAAAAAGAAGAGCTGGTTCGGGCAGCTGGCTCCACAGTTAGAAGAGAAGAAGAGGAGATTGGATTTATACCCCACCCTTCACTACCCAAAGGAGTCTCAGAGCGGCTTACAAACTCCTTTCCCTTCCCTGCTTCACAACAGACACCCTGTGAGGTAGGTGGGGCTGAGAGAGCACTCTTGAGAACTGTCCTTGGGAGAACAGCTCTGAAAGAACTTGTGACTGACCCAAAGTCACACCAGCAGCTGCATGTGGAGGAGTGGGGAATCAAACCAGGTTCTCCCAGATTAGAGTCCGCGCTCCTAAGTACTACACCAAACTGGTAGCCCCGTGTCTGCCCTGTCCAGGCCTCAGGCAGCCATCTTCTGTCACTTGTGCCAGCAGCTCCTGCTCACCTTTTTTACAGGGTGAGGGCAGCCCCTTGCATGGCCCAGGCGGGGTGGGGAAGGGGTTCCAGCAGTGCTACCTGCAGTGATTCTGTGGCCCTATCCTGGACTTTTGCCAAGGGCCCCAGAATCACTAAAATTGCCCCTGAGGTCTCTGCCCTTTGGCTTTTTATACTCAGTATGAATCACGTACAACAGAATCAAAACTCTGGAAGGGAATCACATGACCAGGGAAAGTTCATTTCATCCCTACCCTGGTTCTTACACACATTGGCTTCCCCAGTGACTAACCTATGTAACACAGAGCAAAGATTACAACAAGGGGAGACAGCAGGAGCAGACACAATGCAGACAGGGAGTGGTTGGAATCCATGGGACCCCTGGCCTAACTCCTACACCCCCCCAACCAGTGTTCCCTCTAAGCTGAGTTAGTGTGAGCTAGCTCACAGTTTTTTAGCCTCCAGATCACACATTTTTGTCTTAGCTCAGGAAAGATGGCTCCAGAGCAAACTAATTTTATGCAGCAGCCAAACTACCTGCTCACAACTTTAATGCCAGTAGCTCACAAAGTAGAATTTCTGCTCACAGGACTCCACAGCTTAGAGGGAACATTGCCCCCAACCCCATCCCTTGGAGACACTTACCTTCTCACCTTTGCTTCCTTTCAGGCCTCTCACTCCAAAGGCCCCCTGTGGGAATGCGGAAAAGAAAGACAACCTTCACTGGGGAAGAACATAGCCAGCATTTCGTATTTACACCAGAGTCCTCCTCCCAGTCCACCACGGGATTATGCTGGATCTGGGGTCACCTGGGGAAGTACACAGTCCAGAGGGACAAGACCGACAGTGCAGTCCTAAGCAGAGTTGACTCCCTTCTACGTTTATTGACTTAAATGGATTTGCAGGGCTATAACTCTCAAGTGGTTAAGACGCTGAACTGCAGGCTGTGGAAGGTCGGTAGTGCAGCAGTTCGAGACCCGGGTACCGCATGACGGAGTGAGCTCCCATCTCTAGTTCCCGCTCCTGCCAACCTAGCAGTTTGAAAGCAAGAAATTGCAAGTAGATCAATAGGTACCACTTCGGTGGGAAGGTAACAGCGTTCCGTGCGCCTTGGTGTTTAGTCATGCCGGCCACGTGACCACGGAAACGTCTTCGGACAGTGCTGGCTCTTCGGCTTGGAAACGGAGATGAGCACCGCAACCCTAGAGTCGGATTCGACCGGCTTTCGAGCAAGGGAACCTTTACCTTTACCTAACTCTGCTTAGGACTGCAATGTAAGAAATCACGTCAGATGAGAAGCACTCTGCTTTGAAGATACCTAGCTTTGTGTCTTGCGCAGAAGAACCTTGCCCTTACAGTATGTGCTTATGCTGTCAAATCACTTCCCACTTATGGGAACCCTATGAATTGACAGCCTCCCAAGTATCCTATCGTTAACAGCCTTGTTCAAGTTTCACAGACTGAGGGCCCTTGGGGCTTCCTTGATGGAGTCCATCCATCTCATGTTGGGTCTTCCTCTTTTCCTGCTGCCTTCCGCTTTTCCTAGCATGATTGTCTTTTCCACTGAGTCTCGCCTTCTCACAAAGTGATCAAAGTACGATAGCCTCAGTTTAGTCATTACGCTACCCACTTCTAACTGCATTTTCTTGGAGGTAAACACCATTGGTTTCGGAGGAACTTATCACTCCAGTTGGCCATCTGACAGCAACGCTGATTCTGCGGTCTTAGGCAGATCATGAGAGGGAGGGCTGCCTCAGGGCTTAGTTCTCGTGGCCCTTTCTTACACGCCCAGGGAAATGCCGGTCACCACTTCGGGGTCAGGAAGCAATTTTCTCCAGGCCAGTTTGGCCAGGGATCCTGGAGGGGTTTTTTGTCATCTGGGCAAGGAGCAGGGATCACTGGGGTGTGTGTGGGGGGGAGGTAGTTGTGAACTTCCTGCATCGTGCAGGGGGTTGTCCTAGATGGCCCTGAAGTTCCCATCCAACATAGAGTCTCCTCAGGGGTGCAGCTCTAAGCTGAGGATCCAGCAGCATGGAGACACCCCCCCCAAAAAATTCTAATTCTGGTGCTAAAGGAAGAGGGAGGTGAGAAGGCTCTACCTTGACTCCACGGGGCCCTGGATAGCCAACAGGTCCTGCTGCACCAGATGGACCCTGGAAATGAAAGAGTTTTAAAACATGTCTCCCAAACTTTGCTTGAAAAGATTAATAACCACAGTTGCCCTGAAACTGCAGGAGCGAGGGGGAAGGATATTTGGGCCTCTGCAATTAGCTTCGGAACGAAGGTCCACTAGGATTACTGGACTCCCTCTCTCTCTCAAAAAAAAAAAAATACACCATAGCAAGAGTTAGACCAAACCGGCTGCAGTCACAGACAGCTGCAGGAAGCTGCATGTAAGAACTCTGCTTCAAGTAAGGTGGCCAACTGCCTGGAGAGGAAAAAACGCCATGTCTTAATGGGAAGGTATTTATCGGGTGATTCCACAATAAAAGCCTCTGCTGCCAATTTCCATACATTTGTTGTTGTTGTTGTTCAGTCGCAGTCGAGTCCGACTCTTCGCGACCCCATGGACCAGATCATGCCAAGCCTTCCGGTCTTCCGCCGTCCTCTGAAGTTTGCTCAACTTCATGCTCGTTGCATCGATGACCCTGTCTAACCATCTCATCCTTTGCCGTCCCCGTCTTCTTTGACCTTCAATCTTTCCCATACATTAAGCCTCTATTAAATAAGACAGGGCATTTCTCTCCAGGCCTGTCGGCAACCCTAGTTCCAGCTGCCTGTTGTCATATGACCACTGGCATGAGGAAAAGGACATTCTGGGCTCCGTTCACTGCCTCCTTCATCAAGAAAAGCCACAGGGTGGCCGGATCACTTCCATCTAAGCAACAGCACACTGTGCAGTCTTTCAGGTTCTCCAGAATTCTTCATCAGGCTAGACGTTCAAAAGCAAGAAAACAAATGGTATGTGTGTGTGTGTGTGTGTGTGTGTGTGTGTGTGCAGTGTTCCCTCTAAGCTGAGTTAGTGTGAGCTAGCTCATGGTTTGTTAGCCTCCGGCTCACGCATTTTTGTCTTAGCTCAGGAACGATGGCCTCCCGAGCGAACTAATTTACGCATCAGCCAAATCGCTCACAACTTTAATGCCAGTAGCTCACAAAGTAGGATTTTTGCTCATAAGACTCCACACAGCTTAGAGGGAACATTGTAAAATTGGGGGGGGGGGTCTTCAGGCTGAGATTGTGCTGCCTCTTTCTCTGTGGGAAACAGATCGCACCCCCAGCAGGATTAGGGGTCCCAAATCCCCCCGGGGGGCGGAATTCCCCCCGGTTTCGAGCCCCGATTCCCGCTCCCGCGGAATCGGGGCCCGGGGGAAAACCCACCCCCGCGCGTCACCCGGAAGTCACGTCACACGCTGGGGGCGGGGCGTCGCCATTTGAGGGGAAAACTCTTTGCGTGTGACGTCACTTCCAGGTGACGCGCGCAGGGCGCGCGCGCACAAAGAGGACGCCGGCCAGGAGCCCCCCGCTCCCAGCAAAAAGTAAGTTGGCAACCCTAAGCAGGATTAAGCAAAAATGAATGCCGTCCAATGGAAAATACAGTCTTTTTTTGTGTATTTTGCTGCTACTCCTAGACAGTCATGGGCAAAACTTGGGACATGCGAGCTACACCCTGCACCCACGGAAATCAACAAAGCATCCTACACAAGATGGGGGGGGGCTCATCACCACAGCATAAAGACAACCCCCCCCCCCATTTTTCTTACTTTCTAATATCCAGCCTGATGGAGAGCTCTGGATAACTCAAAAATGTGCCCAGGGTGTTGTGTTATTTTTGTTGGTCTTAATACATGGCTTCTGTTTTCTGATTGTGCCATGGACCAATGTGGCTATCTACTGCTTTGTCTTCTGGCCAAGGACGGGACCAGGTCACATACTTTTTGTGCTGCCGAAGGATCCCTTTTTTTTCACAAGTAGCAAGCAAACAAGGGTTCTACGCAACATTTAACACAGCACTGTATTTCTTTAGAAATGCTGGTGATGCCCACCCCAAAGGACAAGAGCCCAATATAGGTCTACTCAGAAGCAGTGTTCCCTCTAAGCTGAGTTAGTGTGAGCTAGCTCACAGTTTTTTAGCCTCTGGCTCACTCATTTTTGTCTTAGCTCAGGAAGGTTAGCTCCAGATTAAACTAATTTATGCAGTAGCCAAATCACCTGCTCACAACTTTAATGCTAGTAGCTCACAAAGTAGAATTCTTGCTCACAGGGCTCCATAGCTTAGAGGGAACATTGCTCAGAAGTAAGCCTCCTTCTGCAAAACTCCTGCTCATCCTAGATTTCGCCTTTGGTTCCTTTAGCAAACGCACACACTATTTCTTGCACTCTTCAAGCAAGCCCTTTTTTACAATATTCAGGCACACTTAGTCATCAGCTGTTAGGGGAAAAGGATCATTTTTTTATTTTTTTGCAAAAAGCCATAAATGTACTTTAAAAAAATATTATTTATTGTTGTAATAATGTGATTACAAAATAGCTATAATTAAAAAAAGAAAGAAAATCTATGCCTGGGCTTGCTGTAAAGTGGAAAAACAACAACATGCAGGCCTTAACCTTCCTCTTCCAACAGCAGCTGGTAATTAACCATTTATTCATGAGCACTGAGGGACTAAATGGTAGAGAACAGGAAGTAACTAATTAGATAGAACAGAGAAGCACTTTAAAAAGACAGTTGCCCCAGGAAGCCACAGGAGAGCTTTTACAGTCCACATGGGATGCCTGGTTCTGCAATTACATTTTAAGTTGGGAGGGGAAAAATCACCACAAATCAAGTCAGGGGGAAAAAAACACAGGAGGAAAGAAAACCGGCAGGAGATACTGGAGTGCGACAGTCTGATCACTCTGCATGCCGCTACACCCTCTAAACCTCACTAAACACCACTCTCCCAGGTAGGGACGGAAACGAACCTCATTTTTGCGGTTCAGTTTGTGGTTCGTGGCTGAACCACGAATCGAATCACGAACCCGTACAAACGGAGGTTGGTTCGCGAATCGACCCAATTTGTATTGGTTTGTGAGCCATGTAAAGTTTAAATTCGCGGAAGTTCATGGCCATTCTTCAGTTTGCGAACATTGCTTTGCGAACCATGAACCAGCCAAATTCATGACAAACAGAGGTCATTTCGGGGGGGGGGGGTCGGGGGGGGTCGCCTCGGGGCACATGATGAAGCCCCGCCCCCTGCTTCCGGCCGCCCCGCTTCCAGCCCTCATTCAGCCAGGAGGAGGCAGGAGAAGAGGGAGGGTAAGTTGCTTCCTCCCTGCCTCTCCCCACCCCTGCCTGCCTGGGGCCAGGGAGGGCCTTCGTGGGGCTTCCTTGCACTCCCGCCGGCCTTGCAGGTCCACCGCCGGGCCCCTCATGGGGCTCGGCAGTGGAGCTGCAAGGCTGGCAGCAGCGGCCGGGACCGTTGGGGGCGGGGTGTGTGGCGTTATGACACACTTCCGGTGATGTCAGGGGGTGTGGCATATGCTAATGAGTTATGCTAATGAGTTCCCCTAGCTCTTTTTCTACGAAACGACCCCTGATGACAAACATGCCCATCCCTACTCCCAGGCTCTACTCGCAAGTATCCAGATATTTCCAAATTAGATCACTGTATAATTCAGATTATCCATATATAAAAAAATCAGTGAACAAATTGTGACAATATCAGATTGAAAGGCTAAATCTGAACTCTGGGCCTGTGCCTCTTGATAGTGCAAACTGCTTTGGTGGATAATCACCCAAACTCAGGGTCCCCAATCTTACCCCTGTGGCCACATTTGGAAACCTGAGAATGGGCGTCATCACAAAATGGCCACCATGGAGTGCTGGGGCAAGTGCTAAAATGCTGGCAGGTTGCAAGCCAAGCATCATTCTATGATGGAGGTAGGTGTTTCTGAACACACTCCCTGCAGACACAAAGGTAATGCCTCATGGGTGTGGAACAGCGGTCACTGTGGGTGTGGAGGGGGAGGTATTCGTGAATTTCCTGCATTGTGCAGGGGGTTGGATTAGATGACCCTGCAAGTCCCTTCCAACTCTATGATTCTATGATTCATGAAGCACTTCCCGATCCCCTGAAGTCATGGAAAGCTACTATTGGTTTAGGGGAAGAGACATGTTGTATATGACGCAAATGGGTGCGAACCCCATTGCAGATGCCATCAGTTGATGGATTGGTTTATCCCAATTTGCACTTCACTTCTGAGTTTTTATCATGGGTGGGGAGGGGAGATCACATCTGCAGCTTATGGTCTTTAGCTCTCTCTTTACCATGCTCTTCTGGCTCAGGCTTACCTGGGCTCCTTTCTCCCCAGGTGGTCCTTCTCTTCCTGGGTGACCCTGAAAAGCAATACAAAGATACATGGCTGAAGGATGCACCTGTCTGGAAAAATGTTGCCTCCAGAAAGAAATAAAATGAAAAAGTAAACCTATCATTCTTCCATTTCTTACAGCTACTCCACAGGCAGGTGACTGATGGGGAAACACAAATGTTTCTCATTTTGTTTCTTTTTATATTTGTTTAGACTCTTGCCATCAGCTTTGATTCCCTGCATTTCATTGCTCATTTTGTAGACTCATTGGTACTGTGTCCTTGTGCCCTAGGGTTTTTACACATCATTACATATTTCTACTTACAACATACATCACTTGTACATATCATATACATGTATTGCTCCTTTACAGACAGGCTACTAACATGTGCGGTTTAAGATGATGTGAAGAAGGCGGTATGAAAAGAAAGCAGCACGTGTTTGATTCACGTGCAAGAGATGCCAAAATCAAAATGAGCCCTTTCAAGTTGGAACAGCATGGCTGAGAAATCCAAAATCATCTCAAGTAATAGGTCTTCTCTAACAGGTCTCATACTTACCGGGGGTCCATCCACACCAGCCAGTCCTGGAATTCCTGGTTTTCCATGTGGACCCTGACAAAAAATTTAAAAAAGGAATGCTCAGCTTTTTGTGTGTATAAGTTGTTTTTGATGGTTTGCTGTCTTGAAGACTTGGGTGGAAAGGCAGCTTAAAATGTTTTTAATTAATTAATTAAAAATATATAGGATCAGCTAGGGTTGCCAGGTCCCCCCAGCCACTGGCAGGGGATTGGGAGGGGGGAGGGTTGGCAAATTCTGGTTGGGAAACTCCTGGAGATTTGGGGATGGAGCCTGGGGAGGACAGGGACATCAGTGGGGTAAGATGCCATAGAGTCCACCCTCCAAAGCATCCATTTTCTTCAGGAGAATTGGCCTCTGTAGTCTGGAGGGGAGGCGTAATTCTGGGGGATCCTGAGGTCCCACCTGGGGGCTGGCATCCCTAGAATCAGCAGAACTGGCCTAGATCCTGAGATTTTTTTTTCTAGCAAGGCCTTACTTAGCACCCCATCCATTTGTCAGGTGGCATCATCTGACAGAGCCTTTTCAATGGTGGCACCAAGATTATCGTATTCCCTCCCTCAGGAGGCTCAACGAACTACCTCCCTGGCAGTCTTTAGAAAGGCTGTCAAGGCTTATTTATTCTGCCTCACCTTTGCTTGACTGCCTTATGGGAACTCTAGGGTTGGATCCTGTGTTAAAATTCTACTCATGGAAGGGGGTTGTCAGAGGTTCCTACCATCATGCTGTAGACCTTTGACCCTTTGTCATGAGCCTAGGCCTGCATAGTGAGGCCTAGTGGCCCCGGGGAAGCCTGTACTAGAGTAGCTATAGGGCCTACATTTTCCAGACCCCCTTTGGACCCTGTGATTAGTTAGCAGGGGATCTGGAGGGAAAACCTGCACCAGTAGAGGAGTAGGGGGTGGTGCCTGGGAAGAAGGGATAAAAGGCCTTGCCCAAAAAGGGAGATGGTTCGCTCCTAGGGAGTAGAGCTGTGGAGAGTGTTAGATCGCGCTAACAAAGGACTCGTACAGTGATTCAGCAAGTGATTCAGCTTTATTGGAAGTAACGAGCAAGCACTAACTCAGTAAGAAACCAGAACAGAAAACAGTGGGAGCTTATGCTCCTTTTAAACATAACCGGGCTAATGTAGCCACGCCTATTTACAAATAACAACCAATGAGATTGCTAGAATAAAGACCAATGGGAGTCTTTCCCTCCTAGGGAATGGTATCGTTCTGATTGGTCGCTGTTACGAAGCGACCAATAGGAAGTTCGCTCAGAGGAGCCCTGGTCTGGCTCGAAGCTTAACAGGGGAGTCCTATGAGGTGATTCATGTAATCATTTCAATACATTACAATTCCTCCCCCCTAAGTTAAGCCATCATCCCAATTGTTTTATTATTTACAAACATGCAATCAACCTTTGTACATCAGTTATTCCAACAGTATTTACACTCATAGTCCTTCAGATAAGTCGGCATTTGCCGCGAACGCTGGGACCTGCGGAGCGGTGCAGGCTCCACGGGCAGACAAGGTTGTGGGTCAGAGTGGGGTTCACTACAGCCTGGATCAGGCACAGACTCGACTGGGATTTCAGCCCCGCACACAGGGTTCTGCCCTGACTCGGGGACAGTACCGGGCCTTTCGGTACTCACCGCCTGCTCTGGGGGTGTCCACTCGACATCAGGGGATTCAGCCGTCGGAGAGTCAGCGCTGTCCCTAGCCCAACGTCTCCTTAACTGATCTATGTGGCGCCGCCATATTCGACCGTCAGCTAACTGCACCACATACATTCGAGTACCCACAGAGTCGGATATAACCCCAGGAAGCCATAAGTGCCCGTTTGCATAATTTCGTGCGAAAACCTTGTCCCCTTTTTCAAACATGCGCACCTTCGGTTGCGCCGTGGTACGCTCGGATTGCTCTTCAGTGAGGTCTGGGTGCATTCGGTTCAAACGGGTCGTGAGTCTCCGCCCCATTAACAATTCGGCCGGACTACGGCCTGTAGCACTACAGGGGGTGGTGTGCTGCAGCAAAAGAAAGGAGCCCAGCCTCTGGCTCCAGTCCCCTTCGTCCATTTTACCCAGGGCCTCTTTGGCCGTCCTGACCATCCGTTCGGCTTGGCCATTAGATGCCGGATGGAAAGGGGCCGAAGTCATTTGGCGTATGCCATTACTCGTGAGGAAGAGCCTAAATTCCTCAGACACAAATTGAGGCCCGTTGTCACTGACGATGACGTCAGGCAACCCGTGGGTGGCAAAAAGTCGGCGGAGCGCATGGATCACAGCAAGTGATGTGGTCGATTTCATATGCACGACCTCCAGCCATTTGGACATAGCGTCCACCACAATTAGGAACATTTGCCCTTGGAGAGGGCCAGCAAAATCTATATGCAATCTGGCCCAGGGTTTACCAGATGACTCCCAGCCTTGGGGTGTAGCTTGTGGGGGATCGGGTCTGACTTGCTGGCATTTGGGACACCCTCGTACCCATTCTTCGATCTCTTTGTCCAGCCCCGGCCACCAGACATACCCTCTGGCCAACGCTTTGGTGTGTACCATACCGGGGTGACCCTCGTGCAGCGACTCTAACACTCTCGTCCTGAGTTTGTCAGGAACCACCACCCTGTTCCCCCATAATACACAGCCCTTAGAAATGGATAGTTCATTTTGACGGCTTTTGTAAGGGCCGAACTCCGGTTCAACGCTTCCAACCGGCCACCCCCTCCAAACCCAGTTTAATACTCGGGACAGCACGCTATCCTTGGCCGTGTGTGCTGCAATGTCCCTGGATGATACCGGGGGTCGAGGAAGCTCCTCAATTGCCAAGACCTCACAGGCGGGGGCAGGGTCTGCGCCAATGTCCGGCACCGGGCACCGGCTGAGGGCATCCGCATGCCCAATCGCTTTCCCAGGCCGGTGCTCTAAGTCAAAATCATAAGCCTGCAAAAATATCGCCCATCTAAGCATGCGTGGGGACATGATGTTTGGCAATTGCTTATCGGGCGCAAAAATCCCCAGTAGCGGCTTGTGGTCAGTGACCAGCAAAAATCGTCTGCCAAAAATAAAATCATGGAACTTTTTGACAGCCGCTACCAACGCCAGACCCTCCTTGTCTATCTGGGCATAGTTCCGCTCTGCCGCAGATAGTGATCTAGAATAAAAAGCGATAGGCGCTTCGCTCCCATCAGGCATCAGATGGCTTAAAACTGCGCCTACTCCAAAAGGTGAAGCGTCAGCAGCTAACACCAGGAGCTTGTGTTCATCATAATGCGTGAGTACGGCATTAGATGTCAGCAGCTCCTTGACTCCCACAAAAGCCTTTTCCTCGGCCTGCCCCCACTTCCATTTTGCCTCCTTGTGCAAAAGCGCGTGCAAAGGGGCCGCCACTGATGCCTTATGCGGTAAAAACGCATGATAAAAATTCAGGAGTCCTAAAAAGGATTGGAGCTCCTTCTTACTCACCGGCCTGGGGGCGTTTTGGATTGCAGATACCTTCTCATCCGTGGGGTGGACTCCCTCTGCGTCAATGCGAAACCCCAGGAAGTCCACACTTTCCACCCCGAGCGTGCATTTTGAGCGCTTAACTCTGAGACCGGCATTTTGAAAACGCCTGAGGACCTCTTTAACCCGGTCCAGTAGTTCCTGTTCAGACCCGCCCGCAATCAGCACGTCGTCAAAATAGGGCACTGTGCCAGGTACCCCCCTTAGTAGACGTTCCATGAGGCCCTGAAAAATCCCAGGTGCTACGTTGACCCCGAATTGCAGCCTGTTCACTTTAAAAGCCCCTTGGTGGGTTACAATTGTTTGGGCCTCGGCAGCCTCCGGGGTGACAGGCAACTGCTGGTATGCCTGGGCCAGGTCAAATTTGGCGAAAATCTTGCCACCCCCCAGGGAAGCCAAAATGTGGCTTATTACCGGGACCGGGTACGAATGTTGCTGCAGCGCCTTGTTAATCGTACATTTGTAATCGGCGCATAGTCGTATGGACCCATCTGATTTGACAGGGGTTACGATCGGGGTCTCCCATTTGCTGTATGGTACTGGCTCTAAAACCCCTTGCTCAACTAGTTTGTCAATCTCTTTTTCCACCTTATGTTTGAGAGACACAGGTACTTTCCGATACTTCAACCTAATAGGTTTGACTGACGGATCTAAGTCAAACGCAACCGGGGGGCCCTTGTACCTCCCCAACCCTTCGGCAAATACATCAGGGAACAGGTCGTACAGCATGCCCCATTTATTTTCAGACATCCTGTTAATCCCAGAAATACCAATGCCCAATGGCTCAAACCAATCTAACCCTAGCAGGTTAACCCGGTCTCCCTCTGCAATCAGGAATGACAGTTTAACACATTTCCCCTTATACTCAACAGTAACAGAGTCCCGTCCGGCCAAGGGAATTCGGTTGCCCTGGAAGTCGGACACTCTGGTTCCCGCAGGCTGGAGCCGCCGCCGGCTTCGGTTCGGGAACAACTGGCGCCAGGACGCGGCAGAAATCACCGTCACGGACGATCCTGAGTCCACCTCCATTGTACAGGGTCGGCCGTCGAGGAGTGGAGTCACGGTGATCTTGCCCTGGCTGCTGGTGCGATTTACGGCCGATGCGCTCGACAAGGTCGCCGTCAACTGGCAGCTTGCTTCCGATGCTGAGGAACGGGTCTTGCCTTGGGTGCTGACTGGAGTGCCCCTCTGCGCTGACCGGTTGTTAGTTGAGGGATCCTTCTTTGCTGATCTGCAGACTCTGGCCAGATGACCACGCCGCCCACACGCTCTGCAGTCGACATCACGAGCCCAACAGGAGTCGCGCTGGTGTTTCCCGCCACAACCGGAGCAAGGCTTGACGTTGGTAGTCTTCGCTGGGGTCCGCTTGCCTCGAACCGCGTTGACGTCATCATCCGCGTCTTCGCCCTCGCTGTCTCGTTGAGCGTGTATACTGGGCTCTGCCACCCGCTGGCGGACCTCCTTCGTGGACTTCTCCGCTGCTTCCGCGGCCACGGCCTCTTCGTAGGCCACTGCCCAGGTCAGGGTGGTGCGGGCGAACAGCCTCTGTTGC